GACGGTACCTTCAAGGGCCATGGCACTGGAGCTAAGATCCAGGGAGGTTTTAATGCCTCTGGTGACATTCAGTAATTCATGATCATCATCATATATAAATCTGCGCACTGCTGAGTTGATCTGTCTAAATAATCAGTATTGAAATAAGAGCTTCACCTGTGCATCATATTTGACGTCATTTTATACATCTCTCTTGGTTTATTTTGTTTTGCCTTCTTGATTTAGTTTTTTTTTAAATCATCCTTCACCTATCATAGAAGAAACTTACATATTCATCATATTCACCAAAAGATCAAATTAGCAACATCACATTGGAAAAAAAGCTTAAAGAAGTGTTCAATATCACTGGTTTAGAAGGTCTTGAGGCGTTCTTGGTTTAATTTATCAATTTATTAATTTATTTACTAGCTTAAACATAAGGAGGAATAATGAGCTAAGAATTACCCTAATTACTGTGAAATCGTATCGAAGTTTCTCTTCCACCAATTCAAAGTCATTTCTCATTTTAACAAATAAAACGCGGGCGTGATACAAATTTTTGTTTTTTTGTTTTAAAAACAAATTAACTTTGCGCTATACGAATGTTGAACACACGGGGAGAAATCTAATTAATGAAACATAAGAGGTTGGAGTTTATTGAAAAAAAGACATTTTCTTACCAGGAAAAAAAAATTAAAGTATTAAAGTATCATATTTAAATAATTATTAATATTCATCCAACATGAGTACTATCAATGTTTTAAGAAGTTTACTTATATTATAAATCGATGAAGTTTCACTTATCCAATATTTCAATAAAAAATATTGAAACTAGTATTTTCTTTGATAAGCCAATCAATGGCTGTCAGTTGTTAATTAGTGACCGATCGATGCCAATTGTGGACGGGTCAACTACCTCAAGTGATCTGTCCACGTCCATGAAGCGGTATTTATGTCGTTTTACCGAAAGCCCAACCCGCTTTTATTTATTTATTTTTTTTGAAAAAATCTCAAGTCATTCTTATATCAGCTGCTGTCAAAATTTCGGTAACCAGCAATTTTTTTTTAAGATTTTTTTAGCACTCACAATGTAACTCTTATAACAATATTCATATTTTCAAGACCTTGCGGAAGAGAGGCCCTTAATTTATATCTTATCAAACAGTTCCTACTCCTTAATGCAGACAGATCAACATTACAAGTTAATTAGCGTCCATTGTTGACAATGCACCCGTTGCCGTTGCCATATGTACTGCCACTGTTGTAAACAAAATTGCCACCGTTGTTGTGATAGTAAGGATTATTGTAACGGTCGCCGGAATAAGCGCCGCTGTTGTAGTTAACGTCTCTGAAATCTTGAGAGCCTGCTCCGCTGTTATTGAATGAGCCCTGAGTTCCACTGTTGTAGCCTCCGGCTGATCTGCTCGCCCGGGCCTGAGCCTCGTTTTGTCATCAGCTCCGATTCCGTTTGATCTCACCGGCCATAGAGTTCCTCGATCACTGATATCATATTATTACTTTGATTCTTTCCTGGCTTTGATCGATCGGTGTCTCGTCTCGCATGCTTCGCCTGCGTTTTATAGATGCAATAGCTAGAATATGTACTGTTTCCTTTCTTCAGCGCGAAGCTTTGTGGTATCTTTTTTAATTTCTCAATGCACGTATAGTCACGTTCCCGATTCCATCTCTCTAGCTAATCACTGCCCAACTATATGGTTATTAGTTAAACGACCACTACGTTGATGGAATAAATGTTACTGTTGTGTGTGGAATTCATTGTAAAATTTTTACAAGATTGGCCAAACATGCGAAACGTTTTGCTGTATATTCCTTCTCTGCCTGCTTTTTTCATCACTCTTTTAGATCCCTTTTCGTTTTGACGACAGAGGTTTGAGGAAATAAAGAAACAAACAATAGAAATATATATATATATATATACTCCTCCGGTCCTTAATAGAGGACCTAATTGTTAAGTTGGTTTTGGTTTTAAATCTAAGATCCATTTCTCATATTTATCAATTTTCTCTAAATTACCCCTATAGATACTCTCTCAACCACAATCAAGTAGAAGAGGAAGAGGGGTTATTAAGAAAGATGATTATGGTATTTTAAGAAAAACATGTCACATTTCTTGTAATTAACTAACTTACCTAACTTTTTAATCGAATCAAATTAGTTAAATGGGTCTTATATTAAGGACTGAAGGAGTATATATAGAGAGAGTCTGTGGATGTCGCATTCATTCTCTTACGCCACCAATAGAGCGGCCTGCGGAGGCATCCTCAGAGACAAGACTAACCTGGTGGCGGAAGGCTTTCTCCATAGAATTGAGGAAGATGACACTCTTACAGCAGAACTTTGGGGCTGACTCATTTGGATTGAAACACAGGCTTTAGAAGCATATTCTTAGAAGCTCCTCTTCTTTCTTTTTTGCCCCCCCGACCAGCAGCCATAGCCTCTTTTACTACCTGAGATGAACCTCTTATTCATATTAACTAGAAATTTCTCCCTATGCGATGCACAGATTAACCTATATGATTATATTTCAAAGTTTAATAAATTGCATTATCTAAGATAGTTTAAAATTTACTTCTAACAGGAATATATTTTTTTATTCATTTTAATGGAATTTGAATTAGAGATACAGAATTTATGGCGAGTAGATAAAAATTTGAAATTAATTATTTATTCCTCTATTTAAGCCTCTTATTGACATGCTATTTAATTATGACACTCCCCATTTAATTATTAATATACTCAAATTTCAATTAAGATATTATTCAAATTGAAAGTTAATTATTAATTTCTTTATTTGAATCTCTATTTGAAATTGCATTTATTTATAATGTTTCCTATTTAACTCAATATATTTAAATCTCAATTAAGATGTTATTTAAATCTCATTAATTAAAGATATTCGGATCTTATAATCTCATATCCGACCCATTTTTCAACGAATTGGGTATTACAAGTTTTCAAGAATATGATTGATTGATTGATTTAATCTACTAAATATTAAAGATAACACTTTTAAGAATTATTAATTACTCATATTGAGCACCCGTTTCCAACATACCATCTGATTTACTAATGAAGTTTTCCCCGTTGAGATCCTTCGCATCACATGCATAAGACTGATCTCATGCAGTAGAGGGCCCTCTAAACAATTGAAACCTTAACTGAAACGATATTTTTATTTAGAGGAGGATCATCATGATGAATAGCCTCCTGATTACATACCGCGCACACACTATATGTAATAATTAAGGATCAAACCATAGTAATTAAAGGGCCAATACTAGCTAGCAGCTAGCATTATCCTTTCTATGATGATCATACAGTTCTTATTGATTATTCCCTTGATAATATAGATAGATAGATCACCAACTTGTGTTAATTAGCCTCGATTGTTCACAATGCTTCCGTTGCCGGTGCCATGTGTGGTGCCACTGTTGTGAACAAAGTTGCCGCCGGCGGCGTTGTGGTAGTAAGGAGAATCGTAACGGTTGCCGGCATAAGAGCCGCTGTTGTAGTTGACGTCTCTGAAATTTTGAGCGCCTGATCCGCTGTTATTGAATGAGCCTTGGGTTCCACTATTGTAGCCTCCGGCTGATCTGCTGGCCTGAGCCTGAGCTTCGTTTTCCCGCATCATTGCCAGAAGCCTTCTCATCGTCTCAAGATCCGAGGCCATTTGATCTCACTGATTGCCTGATATGCAGTTTCTTTGTTTTTCCGATGGCTTTGATCGTCTTGCTCGCTTCGCCTGCGTTTTATAGATGCACTAACGAGAATCTGTACCGTTTCCTTCCTTCAACACGAAGCTTTATGGTATATATCTTTTCTCCCGTCGCTACCCAACTACGGCTAGTTGATGGAATATGTGAGTGTTGTGTGTGGAATTCATTATAAAATTACAAAATTGGCCAACCATGCATTCGACCCGTTTTCCTTCTCCTGGCTGCCCTTTTTTCATTCTGTTACTTTCACTTGATACTTTCTTATTTTGAGGAGTGAGGTTTGGAGAAAAGAAAGAAACAATAAGAACATTTTTGACGGAAGCATAAATAATTAAGACATGTGGCAACGAGAGGGAGCAGATAAAAGTTTTGAAATTGGTAGGCTGGTCATCCATATTTTTCTTTCTTCCTTTCCATTTTTTCTTTTCTTATACAGCTACATATAGTATATTATCTTATATTCTTAATGTAAGATTTAGTTTCAAAAATTGTATTTCTTTTCTTTAACAACTCTTATATTACTGCATGTAGCCACTGCTGACGTAGAGGGTGACATATTTCTGTGACGTCAGTCACACTCATGACAAAAATTAGATGGCAGGAAGTGTAAAGTTTTAATGTGGAATAAATTAGGGCTCAAATTAATTTCTCTTCCTTTAGCACCGATGATAAATGATTCTCATACCCACTCCATATAAAAGCATATGATGCCTAATGTGGATAGGAGGATTCTTTAATTTCTTCTGCGCATTGATTCGCTTAATGATGCCTAAAGTACCTCTCGTCTTTGAATAAAATTTAAGAAACTTTCTTTTTTAGGTTCATCTAAATCTACTGGACTGAACCCTTACCATAACAAATTACTATATCTGCAATATCATCAGGCATTGAAACTAACTGGCATTAGCAAGGTTATCAAACTCACGAGTTAAAACAAACTCTTGATAATAATATAAAATCGGATCGTAAACTCGAATCATGAACTCGTAAGAGTTTACTTTTATTAATAAACTGGTATTTAAAGTGTATAATCAAATAATTAATATATAAAAAATGAGAACAATTTCATTTAAATATATTTTAAATTTAAATAATTGAAATTATATCCATCAACGTTCATATTTTATTACATTTGACAAAGAAATTTCTATAAAATATATAAAGTAATTAAACCTAATCAAATCAAAAAATTTAGCACGAGTTTAAGAGCGAGTTGACACGATTTTGTAAGTTAAAAACGTAAAAACGATAAACTCGGTAAACAAACTCATAAATTTAATCGAGTTTACAGTTATCACGAGTTTAAGACCGAGTCGACACAATTTTGTTAGCTGAAAACGTAAAAATATTAAACTCAAAAAGGTCTTGAGGCGTTCTTGGTTTAATTTATTAATTTATTTACTAGCTTAAACATAAGGAGGAATAATGAGCTAAGAATTACCCTAATTACTGTGAAATCGTATCGAAGTTTCTCTTCCACCAATTCAAAGTCATTTCTCATTTTAACAAATAAAACGCGGGCGTGATACAAATTTTTGTTTTTTTGTTTTAAAAACAAATTAACTTTGCGCTATACGAATGTTGAACACACGGGGAGAAATCTAATTAATGAAACATAAGAGGTTGGAGTTTATTGAAAAAAAGACATTTTCTTACCAGGAAAAAAAAATTAAAGTATTAAAGTATCATATTTAAATAATTATTAATATTCATCCAACATGAGTACTATCAATGTTTTAAGAAGTTTACTTATATTATAAATCGATGAAGTTTCACTTATCCAATATTTCAATAAAAAATATTGAAACTAGTATTTTCTTTGATAAGCCAATCAATGGCTGTCAGTTGTTAATTAGTGACCGATCGATGCCAATTGTGGACGGGTCAACTACCCCTAGTGATCTGTCCACATCCATGGTCAATATTGGAGGATAAGTAAAGAGGTATTTATGTCGTTTTACAGAAAACAAATAAGTATAGCCAAATCAAAAAAAAAAAAAAGGACCGTATTCTAGCAAATTCGTAAATTTTATTTATAAGTTAGTCTCTTATATGTAATTTTGTCAATATCAAACAAAAACTTTCACTCTCGATTCACAATTTTTGCTATATAGACTTGATATTCTCGAGGATTCATAAAACATGAACTTGAAACGTGGAGGACAAAAACCTCAGCCATGATGCAATATTCGCTTCTCCTGTATCTGTTTTGCTAGTTGTTCAATTCATTTGGACTTTTGCTTCCCCATTTTGGAGGTCAATTCTCCCTCCTGTAATATTACGAGTAGCGTTGGATATATTTGGAGCGCATACTTGATGGATCGGACAAAACCCAAAAGCCCAACCCGCTGTTCATGGGGTGCCTTTTTACTTCTTTTTTCTCAACGGGAAAATTCCAAAAAGAGAAACAAAAAAAAAAGATTTCCAAAAGGTGACCTGAATCTGTAAAATTTCAATTTTTAAATCAGTTATAATGATTAAATTAAAATTCTAATAGTAAATTTACAATTTCTTTTTTTGAAAAAACCTTAAGTCATTCTTGGCTGCTATCAAAGTTTTTTTAAATATTTTTTTCAGCATTTATAATGTAACTCTTATAACAATACTCATATTTTCAAGACGTTGCGGAAGAGAGGCCCTTAACTAAAAGGATATATCTTATTAGTAACAGTAACATGAAAGAGGAGTACCAAGAACCTGATCCTGAATATTACACGGGACAAACACACTATATATGATTAAAAAACGAACCACTAATTAAAGGGCTAGCTAGCAACACCACCACCCTTTCTATTATCAAACAGTTCCGATTCCTTAATACAGATAGATCAACATTACGATCGAGTTAATTAGCGTCCATTGTTGACAATGCACCCGTTGCCGTTGCCATATGTAGTGCCACTGTTGTGAACAAAATTGCCACCGTTGCTGTGGTAGTAAGGATTATTGTAACGGTCGCCGGAATAAGCGCCGCTGTTGTAGTTAACGTCTCTGAAATCTTGAGAGCCTGCTCCGCTGTTATTGAATGAGCCCTGAGTTCCACTGTTGTAGCCTCAGGTTGATCTGCTTGCGTAAGTGATCCTCGTTTCCCGGCATCATTGATTTCAACTTTTTAGTTGTCTTGGATTAAATAAAAAATAAAACCAAATTATACAGTGAAGCCAACTCGAGTTATGTCTCTTGAAGAGTCTTTTATTAATCCATAAGTTAACTAAATGACAAAAGAATTAAAAAGAATGGGTTTGAAAAAGGATTTTTTTTATTTTTACTAAAACTGATTATGAAAATAAAGAAATATATCTAAACTATTTTTTTTGTATTTTTAATAAAGAGAGAATGAAAAATTCAAATTTGGATTTTAGAAAATCAATAATAAGAATGCTTTTTGAAAACGGAACGTAATTATCCTTGATTAATAAAAATGTGGGAGTAAAATAATACATCACGTTAAAAAGCAATTTCAAACACTGTTTGGGTTAAGTAAACTTAACACTTGACTACTCTAAATGGTGTTGCAGGTCTTGCAGTTAGCGTTAGTGGTCAAGCTCAGCAGCCTGCCGCCGCCCCGCAGTACGGCGCTTACTCCTCAGCCACCAGCTCCGGCTCATTACCACACTAATTCTGGAACTAACTCCATTCATGGTGATCTCAAGCAAGACGGTACCTTCAAGGGCCATGGCACTGGGCCTAAGATCCAGGGAGGTATTAATGCCTCTGGTGACATTCAGTAATTCATGATCATCATATATATATGTGTGTGTGTGTGTGCGCGCGCGCGCACTGCTGAGTTGATCTGTCTAAATAATCAGTATTGAAATAAGAGCTTCACCTGTGCATCATATTTGACGTCATTTTATATATCTCTCTTGGTTTATTTTGTTTTGCCTTCTTGATTTAGTTTTTTTTTTTTTCAATCATCCTTCACCTATCATAGAAGAAACTTACATATTCATCATATTCACCAAAAAATCAAATTAGCAACATCACATTGGAAAAAAAGCTTAAAGAAGTGTTTAATATCACTGGTTTAGAAGGTCTTGAGGCGTTCTTGGTTTAATTTATTAATTGATTTACTAGCTTAAATATAAGGAGGAATAATGAGCTAAGAATTACCCTAATTACTTTGAAATCATATCCAAGTTTCTCTTCCACCAATTCAAAGTCATTTCTCATTTTAACAAATAAAACGCGGGCGTGATACAAATTTTTTTTTTTAGACAAATTAACTTTGTGCTATACGAATGTTGAACACACGGGGAGAAATCTAATTAACGAAGCATAAGAGGTTGGAGTTTATTGAAAAAAAAAACATTTTTACCAGGAAAAATATTAAAGTATTATAGTATCATATTTAAATAATTATTAATATTCGCGCATCATAAGTACTATCAATGTTTTAAGAAGTTTACTTGTATTATAAATCGATGAAGTTTCACTTATCCAATATTTCAATTAAAAAAATTTAAAAAGTACTACTCTAGTCCTTAATATAAGACTTCATTTAAATTTTATTTTAATCTTAAATATAAAATCCAAATTTATTTTATCTCTCATATTTATCTATTTTTGTCAAAGATAATCATTCTAACAATGGTAATTCTAGCTAATAAACTTGACTAGCAAGGATATTTTAGAAAAGACAATACAAATCTATTACAAATAAGTAATTTAACTTATTTTCTTAATCTATTCAAATTGGTCAACTAGCTCTTATATTTAACATCGGATGTAGTATTTTCTTTGATAAGATAACCAATGGCTGTCGGTTGTTGATTAGTGACCGTAGGATGCCAACTGTGGACCGGTCAACTACCTCTAGTGATCTGTCCAGGTCCACGAAGCGGTATTTATGTCGTTTTACAGAAAACAAATAACTAAAACTAAATAAAAAAAATGGCTGTATTTTAGCAAATTCGTAAAATTTGTTTATAGTTAGTCTCTTATATGTAATTTTCTCAATATCAAACGTAACTAAAAAACTTTCACTCTCGAGTCACAATTCTGCTATATAGACTTGATATTCTCAAGGATTCATAAAACACGAACTTGAAACGTCGAGGATAAGAAACCTCAGCCATGATGCAATTCGCTTCTCCTGTATTTGTTTTGCCAGGTTTTCAATTCATTTTAACTTTTGGCTCCCCATTTTGGAGGTCAATTCTCCCTACTGTAATATTACGAGAAGTGTTGCATATTTTTGGAGCCCATACTTGATGGATCGGACAAAACCCAAAAGCCCAACCCGCTGTTCATCAGTCTATGAAGTGCTTTTTCACTCTCTTTTTTTTTCAACGGGAAAATTCCCCCAAAAAAAAAATCCCAAGGTGACCTGAATCTGTAAAATTTCAATTTTCCAATCAGTTATAATGATTAAATTAAAATTCTAAAATGTTAGTAAATTTACAATTTTTTTTTTGAAAAAATCTTAAGTCATTCTTGGCTGCTATCAAAGTTTTTTTAAACATTTTTTTCAGCATTTATAATGTAACTCTTATAACAATATTCATATTTTCAAGACGTTGCGGAAGAGAGGAGCTTAACTAAAAGGATATATCTTATTAGTAACTGTAACATGAAAGAGGAGTACGAAGAACCTGATCCTGAATATCACGTGTGGCAAACACATACTATATATGATTAAAAAGCGAACCAGTAATTAAATGGCTAGCTAGCAGCAGCACCACCCTTTCTATGGTCAAACAGTTCCTATTCCTTAATTTCTCAGTGCATGTATAGTCACTTTTCGGATTCCATCTCTCTAGCTAATCACTACCCAACTATATGGTTATTAGTTAAACGACCACTACGTTGATGGAATATATGTTACTGTGGTGTGTGGGATTCATTATAAAAGTTTTACAAGATTGGCCAAATATGCGACACGTTTTGCTGTATATTCCTTCTCTGCCTGCTTTTTTCATCACTCTTTTACTCTCTCTTTGACGACAGAGGTTTGGGGAAATAAAGGAACAAACAAACAAACAATAGAAATGCATATATATAGTCTGAGGATGTCGCATTCATTCTCTTACGCCACCAATAGAGCGGCCTGCGGGGGCATCCTCTGAGACAAGACTAACGTGGTGGCGGAAAGCTTTCAACTTAGAAGCATGCTAAGCAAAGAGTGGCAAGTTGAGCAAGGAGTATAAATAATATATATATATATATATATATATATATATATCCCTGAGGTCTTTCATCCCATTATTTGCAAGGATAAGAAATAAAAAACACTACATCCCTACTTAATATAAGAGTTAGTTGACTAATTTGAATAGATTAAAGAAATTAGTTAAGTTGATTATTTGCAATAAATAAATATTATATTTCCTAAAATATCCTTACTAAACAAGTGTATTAGTTAAAACTACAATTATTATTAGAAGAATTATTTTTTAAAAAATCTATCAATATAAGAGACAAATTGAATTGGGATTTCATATTTAGAACCAAAATATGAGTCAAACGAGTTCTTATATTAAGAATTGGATGTAATATTACTACATTGCTTTTACAATTTGGGCTCTAATTAATTTTTTTCCCACTTAGTACATACATACATAGTATTAACCATTTCAAACTTTAGTCCTAGAAGTTAAAATTCACAAATTTCGCTATTTTGATCACGTCTCTTGACTTGGTTTCATTCGTCGAGCAATAAACCAGCTATGCCAGTTACAAAAACCAATTATATTACATATAGTTGATATAATTAAATTGGCGGGTTCATTTCTTTTAAACCTAAATTAATTTAAAGGACCTTGTAACAAGTTTCAATTTATAATTGGTGCCCATCTCTATAATATAATCCACGCTTTCTTGCTATATGTTAAGCAAGTTATATTGATTTATTGTGATGATAGCATAATGTCTTTAAAATTTCGTTAGAAAAGAAGGTTTGATATTAGTAGTAAGAATTTCGAACCCATATGATATCTTTATAAGATGTGAGTTGCGAATTGCGTACTAATTTATGTCTAGAGTATTTTGCTCCTGTAAAAAAATAAATTTTGCATTCAATATGATTTGTATTTACGGATTCGAACCTGTGACTTTGTGTATAAGTGGCCATTGCCTCTCTTTTTTTTTTTTTTGGCACCAGCAGCCATAGCCTCTTTTACTAGCTGGGATGAGTCCCTTATTGATATCAATTTAATCTAGTAAATATTGAAGATAATATTTTTAACAACTATTAATTACTCATATTGAGCACCCGTTTCCAACATACCATCTGATTTACTAATGAAGTTTTCTCTGTTGAGATCCTTCGCATCATATGCACAAGACTGGCCTCATGCAGGAGAGGGCCCTCTAAACAACTGAAACCTTAACTCAAACGATAGTTTTATTTAGAGGAGGATCATCATGATGAATAGCCTCCTGATTACATACAAACGGTATTTTTATTTAGAGGAGGATCATCATGATGAATAGCCTCCTAATTACACACCGCGCACACACCATATCTAATAATTAAGGATCAAACCATAGTAATTAAAGGGCTAATACTAGCCAGCAGCTAGCATTATCCTTCATAATACAGATAGATAGATCACCATTATGAGTTAATTAGCGTCCACTGTTCACATTAATGCAGCCGTTGCGGTCGCCGTTTGTAGTGCCACTGTTGTGAACAAAGTTGCCGCCGGCTGCGTTGTGGTAGCAAGCCTTATTGTCACGGCTGCCGGAATGAAAGCTGATGTTGGAGCCGCCGGCTTCTGCCTGAGCTTCATTTGCCTGCTGCTTCGACCGGTGCTTTTTCTTCGGCTCAGTGTGTGGCTCTTGAGCCTGAGCTTCATTTGCCTGCTGCTTCGACGGATGCTCTTCCTTCGACTCAGTGTGTGGCTCTTGAGCCTGAGCTTCATTTGTCTGCAACTTCAGGAGAAGCTCTCTCGCCGTCTTAGTACGTGACGCCATCTGATATTATAGGGTTTCTTTGTTTTTCCGATGGCTTTGCTCGTCTCGCTTGCTTCGCCCGCGTTTTATAGATGCATTAACAAGAATCTGCACTGTGTCTCCTTCCTTAAGCAATAAGCTTTATGGTATAGATCCTTCTTTCTCCAATCGCT